AGGGATAAAAAACTTAAAGGTTTTCGCTCAGGAACCGGGTCATAGATTTCATAAGTTAAAAAAAAATTGCTGAAGGCACTGCAAAATATTCATATTACTTGGCATGAATGCTCGACATTTAAAGGTTGTGTCTCCTGTACCTACTCTTACAAGGCAAATGGAATAAAAGGCAATCATGAAACAATGAGTATATTTATTTAGTTAACATTAAATGCTTCTTTCGTGACAAAATACTGCTCACCGAGCGGTACTGTTCTTAATCATCTTTCATGCTCTCAATTCATTTAATAGTTAAAAAAACATGTTAATTTCGCTTGCACAGGCCCTTGCACAGGTAGACAAAAATGAATTTATTTCGCGATCTTATTAAGTGTATGCGGATTGTAAATATAAAAGCCAAAATATTGCTTTGACATGTAAACGGTTTGTATAATTTATTTCAGTCGAGATATTTTTTCAAGTTGTGAATAGGAATTCGTTTCTTAGAAGTAAGTGTTGTTCTTTTATACGTTTTACATATTTATTGGTCTGATATAGATTTTGTGAATAATTAAAGTGACAGAAGCAATTTAGTCATAATCAGTTTCAAGATTAAAAAGCAGAAACCGTTTTGTCGAGTAACATTCTATTAAAAGCAAACAGTTTGATTGCTGCTGAATGGCATTGCTCTAAAGGTGTTAAATTTACTAAGAAGTCTTACTCTAGGGACAAATTTGATTTTGCCGGATGTAAAAAGGTGGTTGCTGTACCGATGGACACAACCTCTGTAGATGTTAAGTGTTTCAAATTCGTTCATTAAGCTTGATAGGAGGTGAAAAACTTCAATATGATATTGACGTGCTCATTGAAATAGCAATGCAATTTAAATGCTAAACAGAATCAGGCTCTGTAATAATTAAACTGACATTGATCAATAATTTCAAGTGTTGTTATATCAATTCAACATACAGGATCTTTAATAATGTAGAAGATGGTTATCCAATCTCATTAAAATCAGCTCTAAATAACGTTCTGCTTTTAGATCTGACCGTGACCTAATACGAAATCATTTTCGTTCCACACAGCCAATCATCGGCGAGCTTTCATTTTTTAAAAGTGATGTGAATTTTATTTTGATCCAGGGAAAATAAATACTGATTAGGTCATTTTCACGATTTCGAGAACAATCATAGCGTTGTCCATATAGCCGACAGATAAACTAGCAAAACTATCTTGCCATTTATAATTGACTCAATTATTCCATGTTAATTTGTTACAAATTACTTCAAACATTATTTTTCTAATCAACAATTTGTTAAACTTCAACGAATAACGGTATTTTGATACCAGTTCTAATACCTATGTAAAAACGGGTTGATTTGCAAGACTAAAAAATAACTCTCTCGGAAAATCCGAATTATAAAGAAGGCGAAATATATACGGTCGTCATCAGATCTACATAAAGGAAATAAGTAGATCTGAACTTTAGTCAGATTAGACGGTTCTCTATGGTACCCTTGCTCTCCTTATTTTTAGCAAATTAAATAAACTTACAATTTTAATTGTGTTTATCTGTTCCATCCTAGCGCCATTAGAAAAATAAGTCAATGAGTTAAATTAAAAACATCTATGTCAATCAGCCATATTTTGAATTAGTACAAAAATGACTGACAAACTTTTATACCATGGCAGATCTTGAAATGTGCAATATTGTTTTTATATAGGGCACATTATTTAAAACAATCCTTACTTTTACTTTAGATTAAGTTGTTTTTTACAGAAAGACTTCTAAAACCACTGTCACTTTCTTAGAACAGTATTTCAAATTAACCAGATAAAGACGAGAAATCATTGTTTGGCTTCGGTTTGTAAAACATAAAGAATGAAAACGTCATTAAGCATATTAGTTACAGCATTTTCATATGGGAAAGAAAATAAAAGAACATTATGAGTTTTGATTATGTAATTTGATATTAAGTAGAAATCTTTTAATGTCACATACGTAATTGTGGATCAAAGGTCTTTGCTGCAATATCGAGAGCACAAAAAAACGCTGTGAAATGAATATTGATATCCGAATAAAAAGTACAATGGTGGCTGACGAAGGTATATTACATTTACTTATTGTTGAAATCAAACAACAGATGTTTCACAAATAGCGTTATTTTTTACATATGCTTTCCTTTCTATCTCACAGGAAAGTAAAGATGGACAGAAAAGTATTGGCAGCTTTTTTATTTCTTGGACTCCGGGTTGCAAATTTGAATTGCGAATGCCAACAAAATTGTGATATTGGTACGTGTTTATTTCTATTGTTTGACGTACATTGTAAATGATAAGTGATTCATTAGGGCATGCATTTTAGTTTATATCGGCATTGTTTTCAATGTTATTCAAATCATGCCTGTATATATATTTTCGTCGGTTATCATAATAAGTAAATTTTTTTCTTAACTACAAGCGTGCAATTTTTGTTTGGATGGGAGGTTGGGATTTAATAGTTAATATAATCCATGTTGCTTTTTACAATCTATTATTGTAATATCATTCATAATATTCTAAATTCATTTTCAATTTATAAGATTCACTGAAATGACGTCATTTTAAGGCTAGCTCATCTTACACGTTAAATGTATTTTCATCCAATTAAAATTCCAATATGATATGCTAAAACTTCTCGTATATATAAACCTAACATGTGATGCGGATCAATTATAACTTTGTGATTCAAACACATCTTTAAAATTGAGATGTATGATTTCATTTTAAATTTTCAGGTCCACCAGGCCTACGATCTGTTGATTTGCGTGCAACAAATCACATCAATAAAATCATCAAACGTGAAGGTAAATTAAATGAGGTGTTAACTTACTTTTAAAAGATCTTTAAGATATCATTCGTAAACAATCATGTGCTGCATTACAGTTTGAAGTCATGAATATTATATTACATATATCTCCATTAAACTGCAGAAAAATATCAACGTAAGCCGCATGTGGTTAACTCCGTATAGATTTTTAAAAAAGTTATCTGTCCGCTGATTAATATGTGCACTATAATCAACATATGTTAAAGCAAAATAAGTCATTTATAGGGAAATTTTGCATTTTTTCAACATTTTTATTTTCAACAACTTATTTAGAACATCAAAAATGTTATTTAACTCCCATGATACAACTCTTTAACACATTTTGCATCGAAGCTTTGAAATTCATATAGTGTTCACCGATATATTATGTTTAATCTAAGTGCTCAGTCAATTTAATCAATCTTGTTTTTATTATAAGAGATTACTATTCTGAATTCATAAAGAGATATTTTTTATTTTCACATATGATAATACATCTTGCCGTTCTTTCATTTTAGATGGACTCATAAACAAGGATATGAAAAAAAAGAAACGATTAAGAGAAAAGTTATAGATCCATGTGAACCTCTTCTTTCTTAAATGATTTTATTATAGCTAAATAATGCCTTTGACGTATACAATCGTGAAAACAACGGATTACGTAACACTAAAGACCATTGCTAAATAAATATATATAAATATTTCGCTTGTTTATTTGGTAAATCTAGTATCTAATATATTATTAAATAAAAAATATACACTTCAACCTTTTTTGTACATTTGCGTCGATATCACTGAATGAATACCACTGAATAAATATGACCACAAGGATAATGAAATCATTTTTATGTTTTAATTTAGCTAGTTAAGGAATAGTAAACATTTTTGGTTGGGTTTTACGTCGAATTCAACACTCTAAAGGTCATATGACGGCTTTCCTTCCAGCTTTTCCGTCCGAGCTCCCGAGCACCGGCTTAAACAAGTTTACTACGAGTACCATTCAATATTTAGTGACGGGCCTCATTTTACTCTACGTATAATTCGTGAATCACGTGCAAAGTTACATTATGATACGCTTCCACTCTTTATCTCTCCAACGGTGTATCATACATCCCAATACACATACGTGTTAAGAAATTTAGTGTTGAAAGTTGAATATTCGATCAACTGCGTATAAAAATGGCTGGAACAGACTTAGTAAATAATGTTGAAATTCGAGCTCACATCAAAGCGCGTATGACATTTGGGTTAAGCAGTGCAGCCATTCATAAAGAACTTTGTCGTATTAATGGACCATCTGTTGTTAGTGAAAGGACAGTTCAAAGATTAATTGTTAAGTTCAAAAGTGGTACGGAGTTACTAATCGATGCTAGTGGCAGGGGAAGAAAACACACAGTGGTCACCAAAAACAACATTAAAAAAGTGCAAGAACTCATAAACAAAGTAGCTCGATATACAGTTTCTGAAAAAGCTAAATAGACTGGCATTTCAACGGGAAGTACACTTACGATTCTAAAGAAGCACCTCAAAGTTAAGAAGATTGCAACCAGATGGATACCACATTTATTGACTGAAAAGCAAAAGTAGGAGCGTGTAAAATGTGCCAAGAAATTTTTGAAGATGTTTCCCAAATATAACGATCGTAAATTGTCTAACATTGTAACTGGTGACGAAAGCTTGTTCCACTTTTTGAGCCCACATGGAAGGTAAATAATAAGATATGGGTCACCAAACATACCCGTAGGCCCTGTATAGCTAAAAGAATGACTAGCACAAAGAAGGTTATGTATGCCATGTGCTTTGGTATACATGGTTTAGTGACATAAGTTCCTATTCCAAAAGGTTGTACCGTTATTGCAAAGTTTTACAAACAAATAGTATTAAACAAAGTTGACAAATAGTATCGCAAACGTCGTCCAAATACTGGTATGTGAGGTCTGTATCTACTCCATGACAACGCTACTCCAAACAAGGCAGACATTGTTAAAAAATCCTTGGAGAGCAAACGTGTAACTGTGCTTAATCACCCAACATACTCGCCAGATTTGGCACCCTGCGATTTCTTCCTGTTTCCAAGATAATAGAAACACCTTCAGGGTCGCCGTTACAGGACCAAAAATGGACTTGGTTCAGCATTACATCAGTTGTGAAGGGGGATACCTCAAGAAGACTATAAAAAAGCATTTCAAAATTGGATCAAACGTTTGAAACTCTGTATATTGTTCGAAGGAGGTTACTTTGAAGTTTTAAAAAATAAAAATGGTAGATGCTTTAAAAGTTTTTATTTTACTATAGCCCCGACTATAATTATTGAATACTCCTCGTAATAATACACTTAACACACCATAAAAAAGAAGAAACTTTGCATTGGGTACTGATGGTTATAAGGTCACCTTTGAACAATATAGTGCACGTATTTGACGTTATATGAAACTTAGAAGCAATATCTGTGAGTTTGTTACAGCGTCTGTAATGGATTTCTCAAAAATTAAGGTCAAATTTGAGGTCAAAAGATATAGGGTGCGATTTAAAAAAAAAATGAAGAAAGGATTGATATTTTGAGTATCATGAGGGCATGTCTCAGGTCAGGTCATTGATTTGATGATTATTGCGTTTCCGACGCCCAACTCGTCCAACATGTGTTTAATTGGGTTTAAGTGCAACAAAACTGCCGGCCACGACAAGACGTTTTGACCCAAAAACTATGTTGTAACAGGAGCTGTGTGTGGTTTTGCGTTGTCCTGCTGCAGGATATTTACATACTCAACTGCATTAAGGTTGCCCGGAACGATAACCAAATATATTCTTTGATTGTTCAATATGCCCGAAACCAAAACTGTCTTGTTCTTGTCCGCAACATTGTAGAAAATTTCTAGTTCACTGGCCTGTAAACTCTGCCCCTACTGTCAGTAAACCTGACCCTGAAGCGCGTATTGTCAGTAAAAATTACGTTTCGTCATTGCGCTCGGGACTAGTGCTAGTGAAGTCGAACCCAGGCTAAGCGGGTGGCTCTGTGACACGCAGTTAGAATTAGTCCGGTATAAGGTCGGCGCGCACGAAATGGTGCTCTATCTTGTCTGAGCCGATATCGCCAGCAGTTTTGTAGTTACCGTTGCTAGGGTAAAGCGATTACGTAAATGTGTTAACGTAATGAGTTAGTCATCTCAACGTGATGTCGCCTGGGGCCTACCTGAATTCAGCCTATCCGTAATTGACCCAGTAGTTATATACCGAGTTGTCAGATTGTGAATCGTTTGCCTATGCATTTAAAGTACATATCGGTAACGTTCATTTAAAGTTACCGTTAATCCTCTAAAACAGGTCATAAAGTATGTACAGTTTATGTACAGACTCTGAAATCATTTTTATTGAAATTGTTCATAAGAGAGAACGGAATGTCCAATATCTCCCGCGACACCGATCACCAGCTTATACAATATACAGCCATAAAATCTGAAACACTGAAACTATAAAAACCGAATTTCCCGAAGGAACAGCGAAAACTTGAATTAGGTGAAGTACGGGAATTTTAACAGCTGCCACACTTATATAAATATAACTCATGATGCTGTGAAACATGTAATACCTACATTAGTTAAATTTGTTTAAAGTGCAAAAGGTCGACCGAAACTGCTTTAAAAGCATATCTGTATGAAAATAACCTGTCATCATACACATTTTATATTTCTAGCTTGAAAAGGGAAGTAACACAAGTGATTTACAGATACAAAAAAAAGAATAAATTTAGTTTTTTCATTGATTTTCTGATGCTTTGGAAAAAGAAATTTGAAAAGATTAACAAAATCCATTTTGTCACAACTGTAATGCCAACGTTTTCGATGCCTTTAACTTTAGCTCACGACGAAACACATTCTGTGCTCACGACGTTTACTTTTACTTTAATGTGCTTACTTAAATGGAGAACAACTTTACAATAGTAACTATGCTCGTTGTAGTAACTGCGATAAATGTTTGAGATCCGGATATATTTATACTTTATAAATTGAATTAAATGTGAGTTTCATTTAAATTTATTTAGAAAAGTATGCAATCAAATGATATCTTATGGTCATTATAACGTCTTTATGGTTGAATACATCGGCGTTTACCTGATTCAGTTTGTTATATTTATCGTGTTTTTCGGAATCATTTATTCTAGCACATAAAGTGTTGACGACTGAGAATCGCTCAAGCACATTTAGGGGCAAGAGGGATGTTGGACTTTCCCAATGTTCCTCAGACTCAATCAAACAAAACGAGTCTGTTTTCATTGTAATTTTGTTGATTTTAATGCTTGTTAAGGATCTTTTGTTTCCAAGATATTCATTAAATACTCTTTAATAACGTGTAACTATTACTATTCAAGTGTGAAAGATCATTATCATAATGACTATGTGCCGTCCATGAACAAGCTCAATTTAACTGGGTCTGAGACATTTCCAATGTTGCCGTTTTAGGCGTACTTTACTGATTCTGATCGTAAGTATAACATAAACATGTAACCAATTTTGTTCGGTAAAACAACTGATGTTTGCTTAAGGTTTTCTTATGAGTGATGCTTGTTTTGATTAGTTAAGATGTAAAAGCTATTTGTATTTAAAATGACAAAAAAATAAATGATATAGTTAATTAGCTCACTGTTATAAAGTCAATAAATACCGAAAACGACTATTAAACCCTACAAAGTGCCAACTATTTAGTTATTAAAAATGAAGCAAAGATGACTTCCATTTTGTTTCAACCAATATGATAATTCATATACATTTTATCAAGGGAGGAATTGACAGACATATGGTTTTAATTATATTGGCATTATCTGAGTTAACCGAATTTTTTAGATAAAGCTATTGACTTGGAACTTTTATGGTAACCATTGTAACCCAGTTACATGTATAGAAGAAACACTTTTACCTGTTGGGATCGATTGAGAATAGCCTTAACCGCCAGTATAGAGCCAGGCTCCATTCTGTAAGGTAATCAATCTCAAAATATCAGCATTATACACAAGCCATTCAAAACATAGCATTTGAATTTAAGGCATGTAAAAAGATTGTCTGCAGTTTTACTTTCATGGTATGCAAGCAATGTATCGTCACCTTAGTGCAATAACTGATGACATGTATAACGTACATCTCATGCAGCTGAATTCAATTTATAAATATCTTTCTTCATTAGAACAGACTTTCCGTGTTTTAATATTGTTCGGTTTTTTTAATTCAATATGTGATTCCCGGGGGGAAAGCCACAACAGCTTTTTCTTTGTCATTTAAAAACACTAACAGAACGAAAAACAATCATCAAAGTGTTTTGGTGACCTCGGTATCAAAGATGGTGATTGTAAAATCAATTCCATTAAATAGGCATAAGTTACTGTAATTAGTAAGCATTCACAAAATTTAATTGATCACGATCGACCAATTTAAGGTTATTCAGCATTGTAAGCCTTGTTTGGTTTTCACTAATTGGTTCCAAAGTTAAACCATTTGCAATTACACTCAATCAATGATTTCAGGGACTAACATAAATAAAAGTAATAAT